GAGTTGAGATTGAGGCATGACATTGAGAAAGAGGCTCTAAGAAATGAATTGCGGAGAAAGAGGCTCTAAGAAATGAAGGAAATCTCCAAATTCCACTTACGTTTCTTTTAGTTTGCAAGATGGATTTGTTGAGTCGAACGGTATATTCAAAAACAGCAAAGCTAGGAAATCAACGAGGTCGCTAATTTGCCCTTTTTCAGTCCTTGCTACCCCTACTTACTTCGGAATTTGTAGCATACCCACAATTCATGATTAGGATAGTTATGGTTGTTAACTGGCTACCCCATCTAAAAGTAATCCCTCCCCTTTTTGAAGTAGTCTTCCAGGAGTTCAGGTCCGGACTCACAGTTTGTTTTTACGACTCGGGGGGAATGATAATTGTAAGCACGCGTCCGCCTTGGCAGCCGGGCTGGCAAAGGAGGCAGTAAGTATTTGTGCGACAAGTCTGGCAAGGCCAAAGAAAAGAGGCTGAGGTGGGAAGGGGCAGGGGTGCGGGGTGGTGCAGTAAATTTTCAGACGCCTGTCGGCCGGAGGTCGAGGCAAATCAGGTATCACCAGGAGACCTGGCGAGGAACTGTTAAGAATTGATGTTTCGTTTCCAAGCATGGATAGAGTGGGAACAAGAGCAGCTTGGTTGAATTCACAATTTAATGACCAGAGATTGCATGCAATGATTTCTGAATGCGCAAATGCGGCACCGTCACGCCGTCAGACATGTCAGCTCACACGTGAAAATCCCAAAGGCCAAAACACAAAAGCGTTGAAAAACAAACATGCTGCCGAGGGTGCTTCCAAGCAAATGCGCATCAGAGGACAAGGTGATAGTGTTAGAAGTAGTTAAGCCTAAAGGTTAACACTCAATGAAAGCGAAACCGAAAAAAAACACCGAAAAAACATAAAACTGGACATCCTGACCAACTGCTGGTCGATCTGCTTTTCGGGAAGACTTCCAGAAATTATGTGTTTTGTGTGTTGGCTTTTTCTGGCATGTGTGTATTTTTGTCTTGTTTTGGGTGTTGGTGTTTGGGAGCCTTGCCGCAACCCTGTCACCTCTGCAGGTTCTTCTCAGGAATATAATACAAAACACACCTGTAAATGTGTCGGTGATGAACTATACCCCAAACCGCTGGAAAGGCGCAGGAATCTTTTTAAGGCTGCGAATTTTAGTTTTGGTGCCTTATCCTTTCAAGGCTTGTTTCATCTGCATGGGAAGTCTGGTCGCAACGCGGAGGACACGGGTCAGGGCCAGTGGGAGAAGTGCGAGATTTGTCCAGGCGCCTGATGCTTCTTCTGTCTCCTGCCTGGAACTTGTCCCCAGCCATATCACAGATGAGTTCCCATCACAACAGTTAGATTAGACCAGGGGAGGGGACGACAATCACTTCTTGTACAAAGTGATGACTCTCTATCTGCAATCGGCGAAATACAAAACACCTTCACAACAGCAGGCAGCGAAGGCAGAGAATTCACCACTGTTGAAAAATGGCTCAGCCTAGTCCCAATTCCAGGCCCCAGCAATGTAAGACTGTCGTCTGCAAATGTCCTGTTTGTGAGGCCGGAGCAGAACGGCTCGCATGTTGACCATTCGGTCCATTCAGTGTACTCGCAATCCAGGGGGCAATTCTCAATGTTGCAGTCCTGGCTGCACAACTTCGATGTACGATGGAGTCCGTGGCCAACGGCTTGAAACCCACTCTCCCGAAACCCTTTCAGAGTCCTCATTCTGCGCAATGTTGCCCTCACACGCTTCTCCCTCACCAATCTCCTTGCGCATCTCAGCATTGCTCCAACACGCTTTGTTCATCATGCTCACCGTCCTTTTTGATGTAGGAGCATGATCCCTCTTCTTCTTCCAGAACGAAGCCAGCATCACAAACGGCCCAGAAGTTTTTGCAGCCTGGCTTCCAGCCATACTTTCCAAGCCCCCATGACAAGGTAGCGCATCTGAAACGTTCGAACCATGAAGCGCAGTTGGAACTCTCAAACCATGAATTAGCTGGCCTTTGTCATAAAGTGCCCCGCAAGTAGCATCTCCACTGCAAGACGCCTGTTCAAACACAAGGCCTGGTGCGAGCAAAAGCATAGCATCAACCGACAGCCCAACTGCCTGGGCTGTAAGTGGCGGCTGCCCAGACACACCAAGGTCGCGTTGGTGGGCCTCACACGCTTTCTGAACTTTCTGAACACACGAGGTCCCAGTCTTGCACGTGCAGACGCACGCCTCGTCGCACTTCACACCCATCTTCTTTTCATATCCAATCGCCTTTACTGCCATCGTTCAGTGAGTTTGAATGAGCTCAAGATCACAAGGAATGGACAAGCGTCTTAAGTTTCAAAGGAGTTTGCGCGGCCACGTGTTGGAGGCTGCAATCAATACATGTCTGAATGGACCTGCATGTTGACTTCCAACAGGGAGGAGGAGCTTGCGGAACCGGTCTGGTTCCTGCGACTGCCCACACTCAGACATCACGTGCAGACGACAAGGGAAAAACAATGCTCAGGTGCTTGGAGACCGTCTCGGAAAATGCGCGCAGGCGGCGAATGCATGTCCTGCTGACATAGGTCTCCGTCCGCAAGCGCTTGCGGCGGCCACCACCACAGCTGGCACTGCAGTCGCCCCACTCCTGATGCTTCTGGTGTTGGCACCACACAATCAAACTCTCAAGTGCTGCGAGCGCTCAAGGAAAGCCGGCGAGGTCCTCCCAACCGGAGAGCATGCAGTCCATGCAAAGGTTGGCACACCTGATGATAACTTCCAAAGCGCTAATTTTGGAGAGTAGCTCCAAAACCACTGCGACAAAGGGGCTTGCGCTGTTCCGCCAAACTGCCACATGCTGCACCTCCATACCTGCAATGTACAGGATTGCTACTTCCATATACAGCACGGTAGCTAGATGATGCTAAGTCGTTGGACTTCATGCGCGCGAGCTCTATCCAGCCTCGGGTGTGACAAGACCTTGCGGCTTCTGTTCTGCTCGCCCAGACAATGCGGCTGGCAGCTGGACCAGGCTGTCCAATCGCTGAGTTCGCAGTTCACAGGACAATTCAAGTCTGCACAGGTTCTGGTCTCTGTGTCATTGCCCACGCAATCTTCACCTTGCCAGCATGAGAACAATGCTTCATCAAGGAAAAGATGCCAACAGCTTGCTTTGTGTTGCTCACACGAGGCACGCCTCGGCCTTCCTTGGGCACAGTGACGGTCCGAGCACGTGTCTGGTTCCCGCCACCACAGGAGGCACTGCAATCATTCCACGATGACCAATCCGCCCACCTGCCCAGCTTCCAACTCACCGAGGTAACTAGTGCAGCATGAACCTTATAACTCATAACCCTGTGATGCACCTGCAATTGACGCAGTGGTTGCTACATTCGCGAGATTCTGCAGTCGCAAAGCACGGCTTTCCACCCTCCTCTTCCTCAAGGACAATTCCCCGGTTGCGGGCTTGTGTCCCATTGCACCATGGTTCACAAACTGTCCACGCGCTCCAGTCACCGTACCTTGGACGCCAGGACAATACTTTCAAAGTTGCGCATGCAGGACAACAGCTTTCACATCGCCCCTACAAGCCAGGTCGGGAGGCTGGCAATCCCGCGGACAGGCCGCGGTGTTGCAGTGCTCCACTTGGAGCTTCTGCACCTGAAAAACAAGGTCGTGTGAGGCGCATTTTATCAATCCAGAGGAATGCCGGCAAACGTCGACAGTTCCTTTTTTGCACTGTGAGGCCTTCCTGGCCTTGCGACCCTCCAGTGACCCGTACTTCTTTGCACCAAGATCGGGAAGAACACGCATCCGCATGAATCGCTCATGACGAACACGGGTTTGAGGGCAGATTGGACAGATTGCACACGACGACACCATGTGCTGAAGAAAGCTCACCTCAGAGCAGCCAAGCCTTGCTCCCTTGATGAGCGTGGACGTCACAACAGCTGAGGAGGTTTTCTGTTACACACACACACATCGGACTCTCCCTAGCAGCTAGAATCTACAGCCATGCTAGTTTTGTAGTGCGCCAGCTGGCTTTTGTTGCGCAATGGCTTTCCTCAGCTCCTTGATTCCTACATGAGCTCATGGAATGCCACAGGCAAATCAGGGCGGGCAACCCGGTAACGTGGTTATGCAATGTGTGCTGCATGTGGCCCACCTGCTCGCAAGGAGAGCCGCCTCCGATTTCCAACTTTGTCGCGCTGCAGGAGCCTCAGTATCAAGACTCATCAGGTCTGAGATGTGTCAAGTGCAACAAGTGCAAAACGATGCTACCACCCGTAGACAGCGGTCGCAGTCACAAGAGAGCAAAACTGAAATTTCACTTCATATAAGCTGCCCTTACACCAAACTGCGCCCGCCTGCTTCTTCATGCAGGCTGAAGCCAACGTTGCACAACACAACAGTCCCATCACATCCCTCGTCATAGACTCCTTGGATCTGCAAGGATTAGAGCAAGAGGCACTTACAGAGGACTCAGGTGTAAACTGGTCTTTGTGTGCTTCAAGGGTCCTCCACAGGTTGGATCGGAATCGCACCTGTCCCTGGCGGCTGCATAGACCATGGAGCCATCACGACGACCTAGGTGAAAAGAGTTCATTAGATCACATTGAGGATGCAGCCGCATTTACCTACCAACTAGAACCGAAATCACCAAAATTGCCAGTAAAGCTTCTTTCAGTCAGCTTCCTGCTGAACTCGTTTCTATGCGTACCCTTTTGGATGTAGGATACTGGGATACAGGGCCCACAACAGCTGACCCGTCAACTGCGGCTTTGGGTTCCCAATCTACCGTTACAAGGAGCCTTGAAAAGACTACGGCACAACTTGTGCTTCCCGAACCTTGTAACATGACTGGCATAACGTGGAGGAATGGTCAACCCTTGGACTCAGAGGTCGCAAAGTGGACCTCGCTCTTTCTGAGAGCCTGTCGGCGGCGAGGGGCTGGCCACGTCGCAGCGCATGTTCATCTGAAGCTCATAGCCATAGACCCGCGCGGGCTCTTCAGCAAAGGCAGATATTGTACCTTCGGGCTGCAATGGTCCAAGTCAAGTGGTTTGCCAGCGCCGTAATGTATGTGGCATGTGTATGGAATCTGGCCTGAGCGGTTGGTGCGGAGTACAAAGAGTTGGTCCCTGCTGCGACTCCTGGTACCGTTTCCGCAAGTTGCAGAGCAGGAGGAAAAGGGCGTCCAGTCCAGCCAACCACAATCTCTGCCTCAGGTTCTCTCAACAGCATGCCAGGCATAGCTGCGCCTGGCTATCTGAGTAAGTATATCTAAAAAGCATTACCTTGTGCCTGGCTGAGTCGCACAAGTTGGAGCACTGTCGGATCTGTTTCGTGACGCCCCCAGTGAAGCCAGGTTCTTCAGCTGCCAGGGAATTGCATGACTTGCCTCCGAAAGCAGCCTTCCGGGTGACACTTCGCTGCCGGGTCTGCGAGCCTGTCGGAGGGAGAAGAAACTTAGCCGACAAAAGCAAAGGTCCACACACTATCTAAAAATGCCTTCACAGTATGGCTGGCAGGAGGTCCACGTGGTCCAGGTTGAGAACTCACAGTCCACTGGGCAATCCTGGACTATGCACATGTGAACAAGTTTTCAAACGGTCCACATCTTCCTGGCGGGCCTGCTCGCTACAGGTCTTGGTTTCCTCCCCGCTGCCGCTACACTCTTGACCGCCTCCCTGCTTGGGCACGGCCACCGAGCGGGTCCTCTGCGCCTCGAGGCTGGAAGAACCGACACACAACACCCCAAAGTCGACCAACCATGTTCTGTTCACAAATCTGAGGTCTCAACAGTACCACCTCCGCAGGATACCGTGCATGCTGGCCAAAGGGTCCAGTCGGTCCAGGCACAATCCACACAGAAGTTGCTACACCTCTGGTCCTGACCGGCTGCCACGCCACCATAATTTGTACATAACTGCAGTCCCAAACAGTCCTCCAAGGTTGGACCGCACGGGGTGCCGCCATATGCTGCGTGCTTTAAGATGTTCCTTTCTCGCCTTAGGACGGGGATCAGTGACTAAACTCGTTGTAAGTCCAGTCGCACCTACGTTTAGATTTCATAACGTCAATTGCTCGGGCCGCTTGGGGTGATGAAGTAGAGAGTCGCACATGAAGATGCAAGGTTTGGGTTTCAAGCCTCCAGTATTTAGTAGCATACGACTTCAAGTTGTTACATGTGAGGGGAAGAGAGGTGCTTAAGACTTGAATAGCAGAAAACTGAACTTTGAGCGCAACGTCTTGAAACATGTTGAGACCTATCCTGGGAGAACGTCTTTCCGCGGAATCTGACGCAAACGCAATTGATGTGAAGCAGAGCAACTGGGCAATCAGAAACCAAGGTCTTTGTTGGAAAGCCTGACAAAGAAGTGACAGCGGATGCGTGCCATTGGGAGCTGGGGTCCAGCATGCACAGTCGTTCTTCGCCACATTTTGGGCTGCCGGGGTATTTGTGAGCCAGCTGTGAAGCTACTTTGTTACAAGGCTGTGTTGCATACGACCATACGATGATGGCAGCTTTTGCCGCTTTGGGGAAGTGCGCCGCCAATGGCGGCTGTCACAAGTCCAAACACCTCGCTAGCGATGATGCCTGGCGATGAGTGAAATAGCCAATTTTTCAATGGGCGATACTCGTGGAGTCTAGAGCAGCTACAGCGGTGCGGCGTAACAGCATGAAGGGTCTGTTGGACGTGTTGTTGGTCAGAGACCGCTGTCATTGCATGATCAAACAGTGCATGGGCATGGTTGTGGCTGATGCTACTCGCTTTGCTACTGTGCACTGAGGTCCTCATGAATGGCTCTGGTCAGCGTCGCGTTGCCACGGGCAAGCAAGGACTGGCAATGGCAGGCATGCAAGTACACCACGCAGTGTGTGATGTGTGGGACAACCGGAGGCGGATGCACCAGAAGCCTCCACCATCCCGCACCAGACTGGCTGTGTTGTGTTAGATGCTTTTTCTATGTCCAGCAGCATTTCTTGCCCTTGGTTACTTCAGACAAGCGATTTCGTTAGTCAGCTTCACGAGATTACTCCGGATTAGTGGAGGCATCCTGGAAGTTTGCCACTACCCCGAAGGACTGCTCAGAGCGCAACTCCTATGCGGCACCTCTAAATGTTTTCGCCCTGACGGCGCAGAATGGCTGACATCACCGCGCCCTTGAGTTCCAAACCCGGGCTCCAGATGCCAGGGACAGTACAAGACGCACAAGAGTGAGCACCTGCTGGCTGCAAGAGAACTGTTTTGTTCTGGAGGATGCGCCACAAGACCATTAGCATTTGAGGATCAGGAGCAGGATCTTCACATGGTTGTGCTGGGAAGGGCTCAGGCACTGGTCATGCAAGTCCTATAGAACAGATAACCTGGGATTTTCAGTCCGAAAATGAATCTACTTTTTGTGCAAGCTATTTGGAAGGCCACCAGCACAGCGAGTGAGGCGCAATAAAACGTCCGCTATCTGAAGAGCTTGGTCATCCTGTCCTCACAGAGCATAGCGACAAGACCACCCATCTCATGAGGAAGCAGTACACGCAGCCCGAAAGCCACAAGTGAATGCGGACCTAAATCAAGTGGCGCGGCAGTGCAGCAAAGAAATGTCGTTGCATTGACTCCATCAGGCACGCTAAGCGCAAACTCGGGTGCATTTGGGTATGGGCGAAGAATTCGAATTCTGGCAGCACTTAGCCTCACTCAGCCTACTGGCAGCAAACACAATGCACCATGGTCTTGACCCAGGCCCAGGTTGCTGCCCGAGCGATGCACCGCGAAATTAGCACCATACCCGTCATGAGTTCTGTGGGAGCGACCCAGACGTGTTGATAGGTTGCGTCTGCGGCCAGATCCACGAGTTCTCACAAGATGCAGAGGAGATGAGGAGGACTTAGATTGGGAGATTGATCTTTGGGGACCCCGCCCAAATGGCCTTGGAGCTTGGAAGAAGCCGCATGGAGATTACCACAACAGGCAGGCACATCTGAATCCTTCTGTTGCCTCTGTGGAAGCGGGCACTTCATGGCACTATGCTTTGCACGAAAAGGGCGTAGCCCTCAGCATCTACTTCATCCGTCATGCGGGGAGGAAGCCGGCTTCAAGATCACGAGAAAGGCTTCCTCCCACCGAACGGTGCACTGAAAGACGGCCGCCTACAGTCTCTCTTCGTGCTCGAGCGAATGGTGTAACTCAGCCTCTTCACCATCATTACCTTGAACCAACGGATAAAGGAAGATGCGTTGCCTAGTGCTGCGTTGATGGCTGCGGTGGGGAGAGTCAAGAAGGCCGCCCACGCAATTTACTACCCCGACTCTATCTTTGCCGACGCTGTACGATGGTCAGCGGTTCGACATTTTCGCATATTTACGCTGTGGGTGTCAGCTTCAACTCCACTACTTCAGATGTCTGTGCAGCTCAAGATGATGAAGCCGAACCACCAAGGAAGAGAGCTATGAGTGGCTACGAGCTGTGGAGACAAACGTATTTGGATTCAATCGTGGTCAGGCGTGTCCACCTGCAGCCTTGGAATGTGAACAAACGACGGAGAGCTCAGTGGTGGGGTGGAGCGACTGAGATCGTGCATGGCTTTATCAGTTGGCTCCGAGCTCGGGGCAAACCTTTGTTCGGGAGCATGGAGGCACGGACATGCCACCATGCCTGTGCATCGTCAATGACTCTAAGAGCCAGCTCGCCACAGGGCAGGCAGCTTCGAGAGCTCCCACGACTTCATGAGGTGACTGGTTTCCCACGTCTCTGCCTCACGCCGGACGAAGGCTGGAATGGGCTGAGCCAAGGAAAAAAAGCCAAAAAGTGTCCCACACTCTCCGCGGGTTAAATCCACACAGATGCACGAAACAATGACAGCGTCAACACTGTACAGACGCATCTCAGAAACATTCAACAGCTTCGGGACGATGATGCATCTGAACCCATGAAAAGAGCCCTAGAGTGCACTGGCCATCAATTTCAGTTCCATTGGGACTTGTAGCAGCACTTCAGACATCCCTAGGAATAAATCTGGTCTCTGTGGGCGCTTAGGCCAAGAAGAACAGCAAGTCGGCTGTACACAAAGGCCGCACTACTACAACATCCTTCCCTACAAGACAGACGCCTACACCAAGGTACATCCAGAAGAGTGTCAAGAGATGTTGCATCATTGTACTCTAGACGGACGCAACTTCAGAACAGGAAGCCTCCATACGCTTTCAGGAAAAGGAGGGCACAAAGCGAGGCGAACTACGCAACCAAAAACAGCTCATGGAGGTAGCCCCTCGAGGATTGTCAACAGAATGATATACACAACATGCACAACTAACCCATGCAGCTTGTCAAGATAACCAAATCCTCAACCCCCGAAACATCGCCACAGCCGAAACCCTGCATCCTATCAACCAATCACGGCTTGAGCCGTGATCAGCCCTATTCTGTTCGTGAGCCGTTCTTGAAACCAAACCTACAATAATTCATCCAAAACTGCGAATTTTTGCATCTGAAGCAATGACAGTTTCTGTTAAGCTGAACAAGCCACTTCTGCGTGCCGTTGCAGAAAGGATCACAGGGCGACCAGTCCTTTGTCGAAACATTCCATCCAAACTGTGAAAAGATGCTTTGTAAGGGAAAGCCTGCCATCAAGCGTCTGTCCAATCCGTCATGACGCAGTCCACTGGACACATCTGCTCATTACAGGTCATGGTCTCGCTGATGTTGCCTTGGCATGGCTCACCGCGGCCAATCTCCTGATGAGGATGCAGTCTGCAGTCTTCAACTGCTTCACAAGTGCATACATGCCTAAGCCAGTTGAAATGAGAGTCCTTCTTGAGGTAAGAGCAGGAACCTTCCTCACTTTCGAGCGTAAAATTTGCATCACACATCGTCACCCAGTTATCGCAGCCACGATCATACAGACCTGAAGGACACGATCTCAGCACGAAGGAATGCACACCCTTGAGCCGCCTCCACATGTAGGATCAGCACTGCATAGTGCTTCAGCTTCCTGTGAAACCACGCTTCGTTTGCATTCCTAGTGTGCCAGAACGGAGGCCACTGATACAAGCATCGCACGTCCTGCGGGGTTCCTACCCCATCCGTGCTTCTCTGATGCTTTGGATCACACCTGCAGAAGGAATCTGGTTTTGCCGATTGGCCCTGCCCTGCCGACGAAACAGCAAAGGCTTAATCGACAGCTCATGGGAGATCACCAAATACAGCACAAAATCATGGACTAGAGATGCCGATGCACGCTGCTTGCCCCGAGCCACCAGTAGCAGGATAACCAGCAGCTGACCACCATGTTCTACGACAAATCTGCCTGGCCTCACGCCCATCTTCTTCTGATAGCCCCAAGCTCCTAGGGGCTTCAAAGAAAATCACTAGCAAAGATGCACAGCAAAGTCCACACTTCCTAAAGGGCTCACTGAGTCCTGTGGACGACTCAGAGCCTGCTTCGAGCTGAATCAAGCCTTGGAACTGAGATTCGAGAAGAGCCACAAAAAACTCAAAGGAACCCAAGCACACAAAAGCGCACTCAGCGCAGTCCACAGAAACAATTTGTTCTGCTATCATGCATGGTGCTCACCATGAAACAGCATTGCTACTCCCTCAGGCTGTTTGGACCAAGCAGCTGCTGGAAGCACGCTGTACGTACCTGGCGTTTTATGCTTTCAGAGTTGAAACGATTGGAAACGATTGAGCGCGTCCAGAAAGAAATGCGGTCATCTGCTGGTGGTGATAACTTCACGCCAAGCCACACTTCGTCCCGCAAGCGATACTGGCTGCCACCAGCACATGTTTTGCTGCAGCTGGCCCAGGTCGTCCAGTCGGAGAGTTGGCAATCCATGCAGAAGTTGGTGCAACCTTGACAGAACAGTCACTGCCCTTCCCAGTATTCAGTCAACCCTCCCCAGGCTACAGCAGCCATGTAACCATACAAATCAAACAAATGGTAAGCTTCGACATACGGTCCAGAGCACCAAGTCCAGACATGCAGCGCTGCGTCTCTGAGAGGTTGCCGCATGGTACTCCGCCAAATTTTGGGGCGGTAATCACCACCCGGTTCCGGTTCTGAGATCCAATGCCTGCAAAATGCATGGTCAGCCATCGGCAGGCCCACCAACACAAATATATCTTTCGAATGCTGACTGCCGAGACGGAAACGGACGTGTTCAGCACCAATCCAAACCGGAGCCCTGCGGCTGCTTCTGCCGCCAACAACTACTGCTGCCACCGCCGCTGCTGCAGCTGCTCGGGCAGGTGCCGCTTTTGCTCCTCTTTGTTCTCCTCCGCCTATTCCTCTTCCAACCTTTACCTCCACTTCCGCCAGCTAGCACCAGCGCCAGTAACAGCACACCACAGTCACTGCCACCGCCGTTACCATCTGCACCACCATCAGCACCACATCAATACCATTGTTGACACAACCACTATTTTCTTCACAACAACAGCAGCAGCGGCAGCGGTAGCTACAGCGGCTCTGACACCGAATATGGACTCCTTACTCTTTGCTCTCAAGGTTACTTCTTACTGCAAACAGCTTGCCGCTTACTTGATCCTTACTGCTGTCTGGTTTCTGCTTGCAGCTTACTGCTTACACTGACTGCTGGCTACTGCATCGTTTTGTTAAGGTGCTGGAATCGATAGAAACCGTTGCCGGCGACACGGAACACAAAGCGCCTGTCATACAAAAAGCAACGACTCCAACTTCAAGATTTTGTGGCTTACTATTGAGCATGTCTGAACGCGTTGAGCTCCAATACTGTCCACCGACCTTGGGGGGCGTGTTGGATGGTTTCAGTAACGGAGAGGGTGAAAACCCTCTTCTTTCTCCCTTACAGCCTGGAAAGGGGGGGGGTAGAGGGGGGTATCCCGTGCCCGCTTCCCTCCAGGCCCCTATGTCCACGGCAGCCGCTTCAGCCGTCTCCCACCCCTTCGCCTGCCTCCCACCAGCAGACTTTTCAGAACGAAGAAAAACTGGTGGCAACTGGCTGAATTTGGGGTCCAGCCCCAAGCCCCTGGGAGCCCGGGCCCCAAGCCCCGTAACCTTGGCTTGTTGCACCGACTGATTTCCTTTCGCCAGGTGTCCACCAGGAGATTTTTGAGAAACTTGTTGCACCGATTGATTTCCT